CAGAGAGACAGCACAAACAGTCTGACAAACACAACTACAAAGAGAATATTACACATGGGAGACATATTATGCTCACTGAAAGACACTGTCAGCAAGGCATGAGAAAAAATATATAATGATAGAGATCATTGTTCAAGTCAGTTCAATGTGTCACTTATTTTAAAGGCTGTAACCTAATTAATTAAAGCAGTATCATATAACGATTCAATATCAGTACTGCAACATTACTCATTATATTAACAGAAGATACTACAGGATGAACAGCCAAGAAATCAAAACCTTGTGTATTAGGAGATGCACTGTCTGAGAGAAGTTATGCATGTGCATCCATTACCACTGCATATATGAAAATATTATACCGAAAAAAATCTATCTAATTTTTATGCACCTGATATATCTAACTTTGAGAAGAAAGCTGCTTCCTAACTATATTCATACCTGTGAAATTTATAGCCACTTGGGAACTTATTACCTTATAGTAATCAATAATTTCCTTTAGTGCTAGTTGGGCAGCTAATACCATATAGACACAAACATACAGGCACGCTCTTTTATAGGCAATTAATGCCAAATAAAAATATGAATGTACTTTCTCATGTTCGCACATCATATAATTCACAATGTTGGAACAAAAAGTTAAATGTGGCACCAATTCACAGTAACCATTACCACAATTGAGAGAACTTGCAAAACAATTACCAAATAATTAATCTCTAAATAATTCAGGAACATGGGTACTTAATTAACTTGTACATAGTTGCCACAGTTAACAGAATTGTAAGATAAAATTAAGGACACATGTCTACTTTAGACAATGTTAACAAAGAATACCTTAATATCCATAGAAAACAACCTGTTGCTAAATACATTTTACAACATGATGTGTACAGTTTTGTACCACATATTAAGCACTACGTTTTTAAATGTACAGTAATGAATAGAAATAAAGCTATTTCATTGCTTATTTTCATTAGGCAGCTAAGCAATTTATATAAAGCTACACAAAAATATTTTTCTAGCTGGCTATTCCTCAAAATAGGTATTTATTCTCCTAAGTAACTAGGATGTCTACATTAATTTAGTTGTTTATATTTAGGCAATCAAAACTAAACTATTAGTCTCAGGTCTTTTTCCAGTGAGAAGTCCTAAGGTAAGTTCTTCTATAGAGATCAATATGTTTGGTCACATGAATAAAGATCCCTTTTGTGACTAAACATAAGCATGATACAATGTGTGATAAATACGTGAGCATCATTTTACCTTCAGACTTAACAGTGTCTTGTTAAAGTGAATTGGTCCTTAAAGAACATTACAAAATATTAAATCACAAGTCAACATGTTATTCCAGTTAGAAGTAAATACATGACCTAACAGGAAATCATATATATTTTTTGTAGCACAAATATTTCACAAAATGTCTTCATATATTTGATCTAAAAATATTATCTATTTATTAATACTTCAATATTTCAACCTTTCAAGTAACATATAAAATTAAAACACATTTTTAATTTTCTACACACAGTTTGAAAAAAGGAATGACACATCATTATTCTCTCCAGACACCTTTGGCAGTTTAAAATTTAACAGTTTAAACATTCTTAAAGAAATTTAATAAGGAAATAACTTTTTGCATAGGAAAGAGGGCCAATACATTTCTGTATATACTGTCAGTGGTTGTGTTACAGTACAATATATATATGGACTTTGACAGTAATTTTCATTTAGAACAGTATCTTAGTTCTACAACATTATCACTATTGCACCAAAATAATTAGATAAGTGTAGGGAACATGACTACTACACATTCCACAGAAGTGTAAAATTGCTATAAAAGAAGAGCAGCATATTTAATTTTGAAATGTAGTTAGATTGTTAATGGTAACAGTTTCTTCCCTAAATCTGTTCAGAGGTACAAAATTCTGCTGTCAGTTATACCATCCCATTCTAGTGATTTTAATCAGGTTTCATGCACAGGACTGGGGTAGAATGTAGCACGGTATTTATCCCATTAAAATTCTCCAAGACTTTGTGTACTCTAAGACTTTTTAAATAAACTTTATTTAAAGGATTGAAGCACAATGCCTCAACTTTTTGTGGTTCCGCTCTGCAATAATGGAGTAGGAAACAGTCCAGGAACTTCAATCCTGCAAGCCTTTCAAGAAATAGACAGCTTTTGGTACTGGAATGTATTTACAGACAAAGTAAGTTAGAAATTGCAATTGTCACTTGTTCTTAATTTTTATGTGAAAATCTCATTTGTACTGGTTTAGGGTCTCTAGCAGTGACAGGTTTTTCACTTAATGTCTAGAATGTTTGATAAAATAGTATTGTACTTGTGTATCACTAAAGTATCACTGAAATAGCTGCATATTGGAGGAGAAACTATAAAATAAGTACTCTGAAACAAACTGATTTGGTTTTGGAAAAAATAAAGAATGCAAACATTCTTTATTTATTTGATAGTTTTACTGAACTTTTTTTTTTCTTTTTCTTTATTTTTCTGTGAAAAAATGGGAAACTTTAAAATTTCTTAAAAGGTTTGATAAATTTTTGGAGGACATACCTATGAAATACAGTGATCCAGAGGCAGCACCTGTCTCAAATAACTCCTAAAGAGGCTGAGAGGTTATCCCAGGAAAAAAAGTCACTGGACATATGCTTTCTTTTTGGAAACATCTGTTACTTGTCAGCTATTGGAGACAAGTCTCAAAGACCTTAGCCTGACCAATTATATCTGTTATTATCATTTACTTTCAAAAAATGGTGAAATAAAATTATTTTTTTTCCTTCCAATTGATTCCATCCTCAAAGCTTATAAAGGAGGATAAATCTGAGCTTTCCAACTATTTGAAATTGAAAATCTGTGAATTGAAAAAGGTATTAAATTTCTGTTGACACATGAAACATATAGTGGATTTTTTTTTCCCCAAAAAAATGTCTTCACAAACCTCCATTTTCAAAAAGAATTTACTGACCTCTCATTTGATACAAAACCTGTTTAAAGACATGTACAAATGCTTTAATTCTGGAAAAAAAGAATGCAAATATTTTAGTTTTCATCTCTAGATTTGAACATGCTTAAAATGAAAGAATATTCCACTGTCTCTCGATTTGCAGCAAGTATACAGAATATACACAGGCTTGATGTGCAACTTGGGGTAACTGGGACACTAGAATGAAAATACAATTGTTGCCAATATTTTGAATTTGAAATGAAATTAAGAACAACTGACATGAACTCTTTAGCTTTAGGTTGGTGTAACTGGGGGCAGAGTTTGATTCTAGAATATTCTTTTTCTGTGGAGCTGTTGGTTTCTCTACAGGCAGAGATAATGAGATTACAGGACTAGTGATGTTTAAGAATAAATTCAAGCTTAAGTACTGTATATTTCTGATGTATGATATTGATTATGACAAATTCTTCCAAAGTAATAAATAATAAATGAAGGCTCATCTAAGAAAATCAGAGATCCTAAACAGTGCAAATATAGATAAGGAAAATAGACTTTCATACAAGTAAAGAAAATTAGGACTAAATACACATTCTGATCCACTGAAATAAAAGTTTTGCCAATTAAGCAGGAGTAGCCTGAAGGTATGAGTTGAGTTTGGCTATTTTGTTAGAGAAGAGTAATTACTACTGACAGCAGTAGTAATAAATAATTGTGAATGCTATTTAGAATCCATCAGGAAATGCAAATGCCAAGTTTTAGAGATAAAATAATTTTTAAGTATAAGAATAATAATTTTGTTTCTCAAAACTTCAGGCATATTCCAGAGACACTCATTGTAAAAGTTAGACCTTTATATAAAAATAGAAGATTGGATTTGCACAAAAAGATACTAAGAATTTAAGACACACTCTGGGAAATTCATACGTAATAACAGAAACTCCAGTGTAGACACATACAGAACATGAGTATTGTGATGCTTCCAACATACTGGAAGTTTCACAGTGAAAATGGATTTTTATTGTTGCTGAATTCTCAGCTTTTCTTTTTGTTTTTAAAATATTTCCTGATATTTCAAAATCATTCAAAAACCAAAAACTAGTTACTTGCACACATATCCTTCTATAATTGTATAGCATGTTTTAAGTCTTCATTATGTAATGCATGTAAATAAAGAGATGCCAAAGGTCTAAAATCCTATGTAATACTTTGAAAAAAATTTATGCTACTAGTACAATACCATTTGCTTACAAGATGTACAATCACACCATAATTGAAACTGGGTTTGCATATTCAAATCATGGAATGGTGTAAAGCCACAAAGAAATAAATAAAACTGTACATGTGCAATACACTTGACCAAGTGCAAGGTGCTGCACCTGGCTTGGGACAACCACTGGTATCCACACAGGCTGGGGGATGGAGGGATCCAGAGCTGCCCTGCTGAGGACTTAAGGGTGTTGGTGGATGAGAAGCTGGACGTGAGCTGGCAAGGTGGGCTGACAGCCCAGAAAGCCAATTGTATCCTGGGCTGCACCAAAAGCAGTGCAGCCAGCAGGGCAAGGGAGGTGATTTCTGTCCCTCTACAGACACCACCTGCAAAGCTGCATCCAGCTCTGCGGTCCCTGGCATGGGAAGGACAAGGAGCTGTTGGAGCGAGTCCAAAGGAGGGCCACCAAGTTGCTTAGAGCAATGGAGCACCTCTCCTATGAGGAAATTGGGATTGTTCAGCCTGGAAAAGAAAGGGCTTGGGGGTGACCTTATAGCAGCCTTCCAGTACCTGAAGGGAGCCTACAAGAAAGCTGGAGAGGGCAGTGGCGTGTAGTGACAGAACAAGAGGGAGTGGATTCAAACTGAATGAGAGTAGGTTTAGATTGGTTATCAGGAGGAAATGCCTCACTGTGAGGATAGTGAGACACTGGAACAGGTTGCCCAGGAAGGCTGTGGATACCCCATCCCTGGCCAGTGTTCAAGGCCAAGTTGGAAGGGGTTTTGAGCAACCTGGTCTATTGGAAGGTGTCCCTGCCCATGGCAGGGAGGTTGGAACCAGATGATCTTTAAGGTCCCTTCCAACTCAAACTGTTCTGTGATTATATGATTCTGCGATCATTACAAATTAATTTGTTTCAAAACATGATTATGTCCTAAATTATTTATCTATATTCTGAACTCAGTAACAGAAGTCTGGTTTTACTAGAAGAAATACTGCCCAGAAAATGTGGTATTAATAAACAGCACTCTGACGCATATGCTCTAAGTCAAAGAAGTATCTGAAAAGCATAGTTATAATAAAATACTGTTGTGATGTAACTGTGGAAAGGAACATTAAAAAATTTTTGATTTCATAATAATCTGCTCTCTGTAATTCAAAACAAAAATATTTTTGTAGTTATCAGAAGTAATAGTCATCCAGTTTCAAACTTCTCATGGTTTGGTAGTATCATAGCTTGTACCATATGCCAAGCAAGTGACTTTACTCCTACTTAACTTCTAAAAATACAAGTTTATGACAAAAAAACCCAAACGTGTACAACAGTGATAACAAATATCATCACATTACAGTTATCCTTTCTGGGGAGAGATGTGGAACAGACCCACTTACTTCTTCTATAACATGGCTTTTCTCCCATCCTCTTCGAATTCTCCTCAGTTTCCTACTTACACATGGCAAAAGTAAAATGATCTTACCCAGAATTACAATGGAAGGCAGAACAAGGGCAAGAACAAAATTTGGTGGTGTATAAAATCTGTAATACTCTTCTTCAAAAGCTCTTTTCCATCCGTAAATCAGTACATGGAAAGTACTTATAACCAGAGCAACGTATCCAAGTGTTGACTTTGAAAAAAAGAGAAAACAGGGGAAAAAAAGAGATATAATAGTACTCAGTCCTTCATCTGACAGCTCTAACCCATTATTTTAACATTTATTAGACATCATGTTAAAATCTCTTACCTATTCACTATATTAAATTAGCAATATGTGGTTGTAAGTTCACATGTTCTGAAAATCACAGACTGAACTGAGCACTGATTTACAATGTATCTCTGCTAACATCTATAGGCCTTTCAGTCAAAACTGAAATGATGTCTGCCCAAATCCTAAGTAATGGAAGTCAACTTCAGGATATGTATGCAAATAAGGAACAACTCCAGTGTAGTTACTGGAACAACATCCATTGTGATTGGAAATTAAGTTTCCCGTTTCTTAACTATGAGAATAGATCACTTCCAAGATGCCTTATTATGGAACAATACAATTCTTCTGGAAGGGATATGGGCCTAACACTGCAGATTTTTATCACTCTGAGATGTGCAGCTTACTTCTTCCTTACAAAGGCTTGCATCCACTTGTCTGACATTAGCATAAACCATGCCTTACTTTTCTCCATCAGCTGTTCCCAACTGGCTAATGGGAATATCTGAACTGCAGGCCTTGGGCATAACAGCACAAAACAATGATGCAGTTTATCATAAACAGGCAGTGCTAGATGAAAGGTGAAGCAGAAGGTTCCCACAGCACCCTGCAGAGGACCTCTTACCATGGAATCTAGAGTATGCCACAGAAGGTGGTGATAGTAGGGGTCACTATTTCTGTGAATCTGCCTTTTTAAGGACCCTGTAGTTGTAATGCTCTGAAGACTTGATAATTATTAAATTGTCAAATTTCAATTAAATACTTAATAAAGTATTAACCTTAACTTTCCCAAATCATGATAAAAAAAGACTACTATTCTTTTTGGCCCAAACTGATGTAATGACTAACTTGGTTGGGAAACATTTATAGAATATTATTGAAACAGAGAAAGAATATTAAGAAAGGTAAGCAGCTACCAAGGTATTGTTTAATTCCAGTACATGAAGACACAAAGAAAAATGCAGCCTAAAGGTCTATAATAGATAGTGAAAGAAATAATTGCATCTACTTCAAGATTAAGCGATTTCTAGGGAAAGGAGAATGTCTGAGCTAATACTTTTGCAAGGATTCACAGATATAATGGTATAAAAGGAAAATACTTTTGTTAATTTCTTGGGATTGGCACCCTGTTGACTTGGCAATATTTATGCACCTTTTTTGCCAATGGTTTCAGGGCCTGGTTGTTAAACTTTAGATATGCTGTACACTTCTTTTTTAAAAAGAACAATTTGCTGCCAAAATATTCCATAGGAAACACTGAGAGAAATACTTGTAGATATGAAAACGGCATAGGCGGTATCTGAATGGAAGCTCTGGTAAGAAGTTTGGACAGCAAACAATACTATCAAACCTGATGCTTTAATATGTTATTGCAGATTTTTGCTGGTATGACTGTCCTGAATTCATAGTTGTTATAACACTGCCAACAGGGAGAAGGCCACAAGTGAATCATATCCCTCACTTCTTCATCAGGATTAGTGATGAAAACTATAACAATTCTTGAAAAAGAAACAAAAGGGAAATCTTACAGAGTCATTTCCCTTTATTTTTTTAATTTTAGTGCTTATTTAAACTCAATTTGCAAGCTCTAGTTTTGAGATATCTATACAAGTCTTTCTATCTAATGGCAGAATAGAAGCTAAGAAGTACATCAGTATATTTTGAACTAACAACACAAGGACAAGAAAAACATACGATGCACCTTTATTAAGTTCTTTTTTTTTTGCCCTGTGGCATGCTTCTTTGAAGTGGTGATAGGGCATGTGTTACTGTGCACTGGACAATTTCAACCACACATCTAATAATCTAACAAAGACATTCCTATAGGAGCTTCTGTCAGCTACTAATGCTATCTTCTTCTACCAGTCCCTTAATTACTGCCACCAGGCACTGGATGGTAACTTCTTTAAGAGTAGAGGACTTCTGAAAGCAGCAAGAAGCAATACTTTTTCTTCACTGGTAAATTCACATGGGACAGAGAGCAGCAACATCAGTTGTAAATCTTGGGAACCCTCTGCCTAGGCTCTAGGATGGCTGCTGGGAAAAGGGGGAGAATATCTTTGGTTGTTTTGCTTGCTTATCTTCCATAATACTGTGTTTCCTGAAAGCTGAGTAAGAGATTAGCACATTTCCTATGGACTCCCCAATCTTTTAGCTTTTCTCTAGGTCTTCCCTGGTTTGTTTCTTTTCCTTCCTGATCAATCTTTTAGCTAATAGGGGGGATTCCCAGCCAGGACTACTGATAAACTAGACAAACTGGCATTGTTTGGGAAAAGAACCAACAAAAGTTAGAGGAGTGGAAAAGATGAAAAAGAAAAATCCCTAAAATGTTACCAGAAAAAATGTACACATATAGAGACAATAATCTGCTGTGGGGCAAATCTGTTTCAGGAATTTCTACCTTCACAACAGTTGAATAATTCCAAGCAATTTATATTTACGAAAGGTATTTTCTAAAGTCTACATTTATGCAAGATATACATTGGATTCCCCTAGTAACAGGATATTGCTAAACTTATAAACCACCTGTAGCAACTCTGATTGGAATCTTACCCATAAACTTGCTAAATACTCAGGCCTCAATCTTCTTTACTCTGAGGAAGAAGTATCCTATTCTTGTGGGAGAACCAAGGCAGGGCAGCCCTTCCTCAAAGCATATGCAGAGGAAAAGTTTTAGTAATACTGTCTCCAAAAAGCTTTAGGATTGTGCTAGCAGAGAAAAGGAATGTCTACAAAAAGGTCAGCTTCCTATTACACAAATGGTTGAGTTGTGCTGATTTTTGCTAAAAAACATAAAGCTCAGCTTTCAAAGCCAGTCTGCTCTGTCCACTGCCACTTTGAGTGATGGGTTTTGGACTTCAACTTTTAGACTGGAAAACAAAAGCAGCAGTCACTAATGCTTACATTATATATTTACAGTTTAACTTCCCTCAGAAGATTGAAGGTCCAGTGCAGCACTGCTTGCAGACCACATTCTCCATTTCCTTGTATTTTATGTGACTGCTCAAGGACTGGTTTCAATAAATTCCTTTTTCTGTTTGCAGTGTGTTGGTTTAGGCTGTTTATTCTGCCTGCTATGGCAAGATATGAATTCTTTTGTATTTCTCATCCATGTCTATCTTTGTTCCTTATCCAAATATGTTTAGAAGAAAAAAGAAGAGTACTGAAGTGGCATTTAAGCAAACCAATGCATTAGTTTATCAGCCCCAGCTTTCTTCCCTGCTGCTTTCCTTAGTAAGCTTCAATGCCTGCTAAGTTTCATGCTAAGTTTCCATCATCTAGGATCTCCTACTGAGCAAACTCTTCATCACTGCCTCGTTTTGTGGCTCCTCTATCCAGATGTTATGAGTGTTTCTCTCTGAATCAAGATGAAGTGATTGGATCTTTGTTTTGTACAGTAGTCAGCTCCGTACTGCAGCAATTCCAAGTTTTCTGCTGGTCTCCTAGCTTCCTATAGGACTGACACAGTAACTTCCTTTTACACTATTAAACCTTCTCATATCTTACTTTGTTCATATTTATACTCTGAGGGAATGAGTGGAACCTGCACTGCTTGTCCTCTCAAAGTCCTTTTTCCCCAATGACGCAGGCTGGAATTTTTGGGGCTCCTGACACCTGAGCTGTGAAGCCAGGTTAGGCAAGAGAGAGGCATCTCCAAAATATAATTTGGGATATCAAAGACAACAATGATTTCTGGGCAGAAACATTCACAACTGGGGTTTCTTTACAGTATTATGAAGACTGTGGTAGAGTTGATTTGAACCACTGTGGGTAGGGGAGATGCTACTTAGGGCTTGTACTACTGGAACGGGGCTAGAAAATCGTCTATACTGTGTATGTTAATAAATTCATATTTTCCTAGTAGGACTCAAGACTGAATATGTCCTAGTGGTAAAACTCTTCAGAAGAGGCCAGACCCTCATTTTGATGAAACTGCATTTACTAAGATGAACAAGCAATAGTATGTTATTCTCAGTGGGAAGTGCTGAGCTGAGAAACTGTCTGAGTGTGCTGACTGACTGATTCTTCATCCATCAGAAGCAAAAGAAGTTCAGCAACTGTTGTGGCAAATCATCTGAGACTCAGGACTAAAGCTAGAAACATACTGCTTTTCCCAGCTAAAAGAAAAGCAGCATTGAGATGGTGGGCTAGTAGTTCTATTGTTTGTCCCTCTGACTTAAGCGAAGATTAAGAAAATGAAGTTCAAATTTGCTTCATCTTACTGCACATCAGTAGAAGAAAAATATAAAAGACAGTAACTACTATGATGTTCTATCTGTTCTACTTGCATACTGGGTACAATGAAGCTTGTGCAGAAATACAGACTCCTTTTACTTTAGTAAGGAATCAGTGAAAGTCTGTTTTCTGATTAAAAAAAAAAGACGACTTTTTTGGACAAGTAATGAAGAACAACTTACACCCTGAGAAGTAATTAATGACAAAGTTAACTATCTTTAATATTCATTAACTTTAAGGAAATTTTTAGTAGTTCAGTGTTTTTTTGTGATTAAAAATTGCAAATGATAATAATTAATTACTAATATCAGTTTCAACTGTGACATACCTCCAGAGCAAAATACTCCTAGATGATTCATTAGAGTTCATATTTGTTCAAATTTGGAACTATTTTGACTTGTTTACAGTGGAAATAACTGCAGTAAATATGATACAATAAAAAATGCCCACGCAGATATACATCATTGTGGTTGTTGTGTGGGTTGATTCAGTCACACAAGCCCGAAATTTGAGAAAGGAAAAATAAGACACAAATGCTGTGTTTGTGTCTGGAAGTCATTACTGGATAAAGACATCATGTCACTCAAGAGTGAAAACATGTTTTTCCCTTTTACACTAATGTTTTAAATCACCCAATAGCAGTACCATTGTCCACACACAGAGAACTCCAGATGGCAGGGATGTTGTAACAATACAGTTGGTATTTACTTGCTCTGAAGGTTCAAAGCCAAGAGTATGGATAGACAGTTCTGTCAGGATAACTCTACTTTGGAAAACTTTTCAGCAAACTTTTTGTAGGTCTACCTGCAGTGTTCCAGCAACGGAAACCCAAGGGGAAGGGAAGACATTACCTTACAGACAGAAGACCTCAGACACCTATAGCCATTGAAAATGTCAATTTTCATTGACATTTAAAATGTCTGTAAAGTTAAACCCAAGCCCTGAACAGTAAAGTCAGTGCCTGTGTTCTGAAGTGAACAGGACTAAGAATTAGGCAATATTATTACAATGGCTATGCTGAAAAAACTGTTAATCAGAGAAGACTGAGTTAAGACTACATTACTGAAGTCAAAGTCAGAAAACAAAACACAACATAACAAAAGCCCAAACTGTACACACTTAGGAAATTTTCATCAGACCAAATCCTAATAAAATTTCCTATACCTGACTGCTACCTAAAACCAATGGTAACTTTGTGTAGAAGCAAATAGTAAGCTGTTTATTAAAGCTGATATTTCTCAGTATTTTATGTTGGTTAGGCCTGCCTGTTGTAGATATTTATCTGAGGAGGGAAGGCATCAGAAGGTGTGCCAGGGCCTGGAAAAGCCACTGATTTTAATAAGCAAAACTTCATGTTTTACTAATGGGTATTTTCAGCTAATGGAAATAATGCAGTTGAGAGCTGTGTCAAGTCCCACACAGTGGAAGGGAAGTAAAACTAAATCAAGGACACCATGGCTGTCAGAGAGCTGTGCAATAAAAATCCTGTAGGACAAATTAAGTCCTCAATTTTAACAGTTGTGTGCATCTACATATAGTAGTATCTCATCAGTATCACTGCCTTTAGCAAGTTTGTCCAAATTTATCTAATTTGAATTTAGAAAGAAATTTTAACACTGGAAAAGGAATAGATTAGTGATCATTTGGTCTTAGCTATGTTGATTATTTAAGACTAAGAAGCGTAAAATGTAAAGTCCTATTCTAACATTTATGAAATGCTTTATGTGCCTTCATGGTAATATATTTGCTAAGTAAGGATATGTTGTTTTAATTAAATTACCAGAGAGGAAAAAAAAGCTCTTGTCACGTAGCAATTTGCTGTTGTTTATGATCGTGACCATGATCGAGGAATTCTTGTTAACAACAAACCCCCATTATTCAAAAAGTAACACACCTGAATAAAACTGAACTCCCTCCAGTTTAAGGCACTGTTTACTGAAGGGATGGAAGTTACTGCCAGCAAAGAAAGCAATCCGAGACTCATTATTCCGAAGGAAATATACATTTCAATTCGCCACACTTCTTCCTCATTCCAAGAATTTTCAACATTTGCATGAACCTGATGAAAAAGAAAAAAGGAAGAACTTTATTCTACAGAATATTAAAAATACCGACAGAAGTTATTTTGCAGACTTAAAAGTCCACAGTCACAGGACAACTATAAAATGGGGTCAAATACTTCAGAGGTTTCCTCATGTCTCAGAGAAAAACAACTATTTCCTTACTGCTGGGACTGGCTCTTGCTAGATTAAAAATATATTAAACAAGGAAATTTAGATGTTAAATGAAACTGTAACATTATAAGCCATTCACAACAATTCTGTTATAAAATCAGGTAATTCTGCACATTCCTATGCACAGTAGAAAAGCAGATGTATTCTTCAGACCCTGCAAATTTGAATTCTGTACACAAATTGAATAAACCTGCAATTTGTTTTTAGTTTGTTACATTTGGAAATAGTTTAGCATAATTTCCCAATTTTGCTTTATCTCCCTAGTCCAAGCTAGTTTGTCTCTTTCACTACTGACATCAGATACACAGAATATTCTGAGTTGAAAGGGACCCAAAAGGTCCAACTCTTAAGTGAATGGCTCACAGAGGGATTGAGCCCACAACCTTGGTGTTACTAGCACCAGGCTCTAACCAGCTGAGCTAGTCTCAGGGTTCTCATTAGAGAGCTTTACCAGAAAAAAGAAACAACTCAGGACCTTAACAATTAAGAAGTTTGGATATTAAACTATTTTCCACTTTCAGGTGGACTATTGCAATATGACATGCCTTGAAAGAGGTTCACTAGCAATATTAGCAAGTGAGAGTTTTACAATATCATTAAAAGCAATTTCTTAGTAAAAGCATCAGTGGATCCTTTAGTATTACTAATTCTAAGTGTGAACAATTATAGTTTCTTGCTGTCTTCCATAGTTTTGCCCCTCCTGTCTTTCCCTTGAGCTCATTTTTTCGTGCTAGCCCTTTCAGAGTTTGTGGATCCAATCTCTGTTAATTTGTTCCATTTGATTTTATTTCCTTAGTGCGCTTTCCTTTCTGTTCTATCACACCCCTCTTTCCCACAGATTTTATGGGCAGAATGGCAATGCTGTTTTTCTGGCAGTGCTGCTTCTCTGCTACTTTAAAGGTGACAGTAAGCTGCCTCAATGGCAGACAGGAGAATAAGACCCCCTTCTAAAGGATGACAGATTTGTCGGAGATTGTTTCAGGGTTATGCAAGACCAATTGTTCCTGGGAACTGTGAGTCAATCTCTACTGCCTGCAAGAGATTATGTTCACAGAATTTTAAATGAATAAAGTCATTTTACCACTGGTCCAAGATGTTAAAAAGTATCAGCATTTTCTTTTCCTTTTTTTTAAACATAGATGTATCTGTAATAATGATAACAGTATCTACCCTTATACTTTTCATACTTGTAAATGCACTTATGATATACATACTTCTCCCATATGTTAAGTATACATAGAGAGGAACATACCTCCGAATTTTCCTGCTGTGGCTCTTATCCTGTCTATCCTACATTCTCCTCGTGTATATTACTATCAGGACTTCCAGTAGGACACGTCTTTGACTCCCCCTACCACACAAATGTGACTGCAGTTTGACCCACAAGATGAGCAAAATGCACGGAAGTTTCTTTTAGTCTCCTTATTTGGCACCAGTTGTGCATAAGATAACACATTACATTCTGTGCTGAAAACACTAGAACAAACTAAGATAACATATATATTGTATTCAGGAGCCATATGCACACAGCAAAGGCCTTTTTGGCTCACTGACCTAAAGACTGTCTCACCTGTTGATAGGCCATGTTGAGGAACAAGTACCGCTCCGATCTCCTCATGGGTAAGCACAGGCTGTACACCACGTGCACTGTTGCAAAGAAGAAACTGAGCAGTCCAAGCTGCTTTCGACACTGGAGCCAGTTGTCCAGCCAAGGTGGAAACCGCCGATACTTAGTGCCATAGTAAAGCTGGTAAGCAGCTGCAATAAGCCCTGATAAATACACCAGAGAAAGTAAAGTGATTGCAACAATCGGCAGAGTCTTGTTCACGATCTCAATGGGAATCTTGTAGAAGTCGCTCTGCTGGTTTCTCATGTATGGATGGATTACATCTCTGATGAACGAATAGATGAAGAAAAATGTTGCCAGGCTAATAGCAATCAGTACAGGCCCCTTCCACAGGGTGAACAGTCGCAGAGGCAAGTTTTCAATTTCCCTTGAAGATGTCAATGCCCCCACATCAATAGGAATAAAACTGAGCTTACGGGCAAGCTCAATAACTTGATGGCGAGCCTGAACGTTGTTACTGCATATATAGACCTGTTGGGAAAGTCAAGGCAATTGTCTGTAGTCACAGAAAGAGACTCAAAGGTAAAACATCCCCAACAAAACCCAACAAAAACCTTAAGGTCCTTCAGATCAAAACTATGACGCTACTGCTAAAACTGTACACTGTTATCCCACCTCATATCACCAAGATGAGAATGAAATCACATAAAAATCCAGTCAAAGTGCAAATATGCCCATTGATTTAGCAAAACAGTAAGCAAAACAAATTGGCTTTATCTTGGTGTTACTGATGAGCTGACTGTGGGATGTCCTGCAATCTGCACACTGAAACCCCCCATACTGAAATGTCTACAGGACTGGATTGAACTTGAAACAATGGCTAAAAGCATTTCAGAAAATCACAAGTTCTCTCAAAAATACAGGAATCTTGAATGATGACCCTAAAACAGCTGTAGCATAAACTGAATGTAAAGCAGAGAACTATGTAATCTCTCGATATGTAATAATTTTAACTTCATTTCACAATCCAGACTTCCATGGATTCCAGATTTGAATGTTTATCAGCAAAGATAAAAACTAGAAGCCAGATAATAACTAGTTCTAGAGACCAGTTTAGTACACAGTGAAAAAAATGCACTGCTACAAAGTACTTTAAGGTTCTTTTAAAATTTACAATGGGCTATAGTTTACCCAACACTGTGTGCTGATCATCTGCATTAGAGCAAACATGATCTGATTTGACAGAAGTGAATTACTAACAGTGCAGTGCTATTCTGAAAGGGGATAAAAGGAGTCTGGTGAGGTTATTTTTAAAATTACGCTAATTCTGTATTAATTGCATTCCATTTAAATCTACCTGAAGAGTCAGAAAACTCAATTTAATCTCTCAAAGTAGTCACATTGCACCATGTATTTCTCAGAGCCCATAAAGCTGTGAAGGACTGGATTCCTGCATAGGCTTAAATTCTTTGTATCACTTCAGCAAAGTATGAAAAACATAAAGATGCCTTTTCTATATGCAGGATGGATTTAGGGAACATACTGGGAAGGAATTTGAACACGATGTTCTCAAGTAGTCCTGGATCTAACGAATGTGTGCCTCCTTCTGTTTCCTCATATTTATGATTTTGGGGCAACTAAAAGCTACAAAATTTCTTTCAATCCCTTTGCTGCTATTTGAAGCAAGTATTTTTAGAAAAGCTGACTCCTAAGCCCTGGGATCAGGAGCTCAGATTTCTATGCATCTTTTTCAATAGTTTATCCCAATACCAAAACTCAAATATACTGGGAAAGACTGTCTCTATCCTAGTATAAAGCATAAGGATAGACATGAATGTATTTCCTATGGAAAACATTAAGACCCAACTCTTCTGATCTGTATGTAGTCATCTAAAGGTCATCTGTCTACTCTAAGATCGTATCCATGTTTCCTCTACAATCTTTAAAGATAAACAGGCAACTCACGGAAAAATTCGGACCACTTAGTCTAAGTCTTACAATGGGATGAACTCAACTCTGAAAATTTTATTGGCTACTAAAACATAGGCTAAATGCCCACCCAGTATATTAGGTAAGTCAAGCAGAATGAATCCCATGAGTTCTGGCTGCTTACATTCAGTTGCATTCATTTGCATCTTACAAGAAAGTTAAATTTATACAAATAATAGCACTTACCTGTCTGCTGGCATCCTTTGGTCCTAACTGCAGTGACCAAGCTGAAATGACATTGAATCCTTTGACAATCAGGGAATCAGGAAAAAGTGATGCCAAGTACTCTGCATTGGAGTCCGGATATTGGTCTACTCTTGTATTATTGCTGACATCAATCAGAATTTTACCAGCAAGTAAATGTTTGAGGTCCCACAAAGAGATGTAATGTTCTCTGTGTATGGCTACAAAAATGATGTTTGTTTTTGCTACTGCATCTTCATGATGAGTGACATCAACCACATGGGGAAAGAACTCAGCAGCATGTTTAGGGTTTCTGCTTCCTACAACCACATGGTACCCACATCTGATGAGTCTAATTGTCAATGACTTAGCGAAGTCTCCACTTCCAATGATGCCTATTGTGACCTTACTGGCATCCTTGATACCATTAGCAACATTTGGTAGAAAAGTTTCATTGAGGTTCTTGGGACTCCCCATCATAGAGATTGATTCCATATTTCCAAGACACGAAACCTACAATGATTTCTTCAGGGGGCGGGGGGGGAAGAGAAAAGGAAAAAGAGAAAACAACAGAAGAAAAATGCAACATCATACAATTATGAGGCATCATAATCCATAAACACCTTTGGAAACAAAATCTTTGGTTCTAAGTTCCATATTATATTTTCTTCTTAATAAAGTATGTGCTCTTCAATTTTGTCTTGCAATGTGTCACTAATAGAAGGAGTAATAAGAAATATAAAACACTTCAAGCACTTCAATAATACAGTTCCATTAGTAAATAATATTTCTTTCATCTTCTCCTATTCCCTCTTCCACTGCCCTGGAATGCTAGACCACAAGATAACTTTGGGCTCGTGAAACTAACAGTCAACAGAAAAATGAGAAGAAATATGTTAGAAAAACTGGATAACTATGGAAAATGTTAGAAAGTAGAGAGCACTGGCCTGGGATTGGTGTGAGGACAGTGAGTTCATGGAAGTTGAACTCCTTTAAAAGCTTATCAGGTTATTACTGTGATATCCTCTATTGGTCATGAAGGAAGGGATGCAAAAGTCTCAAAGCTGCAAATGTCATGGCTACTACCATGACAGACATCCAGTTGTCAGCCTAGAAAATGGGCTGCCCACATGGATCCAACGGCAAAGACAACAAGGGAAATTTATCAAGGCCTAGTTGTGAGATCACTAATGACATTTCTAGGTCAGACTGCTAGGTCTGGCCAAGGATGTATAAGGATTAACTGTGGATGCAAGGGCAAAGGATTCAAGGCCATGGGTCACAAATATGCTTAACAGAAATTTCTGACCAGGTCAGATAAGTCCTGGACACAAACACATGGGAGAGCGTTCCACAAAAAACTAATGGCAGGAAAAGACAGATTTCATGCAATAATAAAAGGGAAGATAGTTTTAAGACTCAAATTCAGTGCAGTAAGGAATGCTTTGAAGGACAAAGGCTGAGGCTCACTGGAAAATAAAAGAAATACTACTGTATGTTTGGAGAGAAGTGGTCACAGAACTGCAATAAAGCTGAACAAAGACATTAAAAAACAACGCCCAGTAGGGAAGTCTTCACATGAAACCACAGTTATGACGTAAGTGGTTATACACTGTTGTGGTGGGTTGATCCTGGCTGAAAGTCAGGTGCCCAAAAAGCTGGTCTATCACTCCCCTTCTCAGCTGGGCAAGGGAGAGAAAATGTAACAAAAATGAGTTGAGATAAGGGCAGGAAGAGATCACTCACTAGTTACTGTCATAGGCAAAACAGACTTGGCTTGGGGAAATTAACTGAATTTATTACCAATCAAAATTGGAGCAGGATAATGAGAAGCAAAACAAATCCCCCAAAAAGCACCTTCCTCCCACCACTTCCTCCTTCCTGGGTTTAACTTTTATTCCCAATTCTCCACCTCCTCCCCCAAACCAGTGCAGGGAGATGGGGAATGGAGGTTCTGGTCAGTTCACCACATGTTGTTTCTGCTGCTACTTCCTCCTCAAGGAGAGGAGTCCTTCCCCTACCCAGCATGGAGAGTCCTCCATGCACTTCTCCAACTTGAGTCCTTCCCACAGGCTACAGTTCTTCACAAACTGTTCCAGTGTGGGCCCCTTCCACGGACTGCAGTCCTTCAGGAAAAAGCTGCTCCAGCAGAGGTTCCCCACGGGGTCACAAGTCCTACCAGGAAACCTCTCCACAGGTCCTGCCAGAAGCCTGCTCCAGAGCGGGCTTCCCACAGGGTCACAGCCTTCCTTCAGGCATCCACTTGCACTGGTGTGGGGCTCCTTCCTTCTATGCTCTACCAGGAACCTCCATGGGCTGCAGGGGACAGGCTGCTCCACCATGGCTGCACCATGGGCTGCAGGGGAATGTCTGCTCCAGCGTTTAGAGCACCTCCTCCTCCTCCTCCACTGGCCCTGGTCTCTACATTGTTGTTCCTCTCACATATTCTCACTCCTCTCTTCTGTGGCCACAATTACTTTTTTCTTTCTTTCTCCTACCTATATTATCCCAGAGGTGCTACCACCATTGCTGGTGGGCTCAGCCCTGGCCAGCTGTGGGTCCCTCCCAGACCCAGCTGGCATTGCCCTTTCAGACACAGGGTAAGATTCCAGCAGCTGCTCACAGAAGCCACTCCTATAGCACTCCACCCCCCTCCCGCTACCAAAGCCTTGCCAGGCAAACCCCATACAATATTAGAACAGGAATGAATTCTGAAAATGAAGGAGGCAATGAGAGAAGGCAGGTTAACAAGCAGCAAAGAGATCCACAAGGTTGCTGTTTTGAGAGCAATCAAAAGCAGAACACACAGAAAAGAGGAACCAAATGAACCTCTTCCTGAGCCACCATGCAAGAGGTGATATGATGGTACCTAATCATCAGTGGGGTACTTTACCCAGCCATTGGCTAGGAATACAGCATGTGTGGTGAACAACCTCCCACAATTAAAAGTAGCTGTGTTTCGGAAATTGGAGGAAGCTACTAAAAGAGTGGGTACTTTTCATTTCAGCTTTGACTAGAAGGGAAGAACTCACTGAAACTGAACTCAGGTGCTAAAGATGGAAAGCGATATGTGAAACTGAGCACAAAGTCAGTATTCCAAGAAAAGATTCTAACAGGGAATCTTTCTGGCAGAGCCAGACCACAGAGATTTTTATGTACGGGCTGAAAAAAGCCTTGACTTCTTTCTTACCGTGTGACCTGGAATGTATCTAACACATGACCAAACTATTTCCTGCACCATGATGGATTAACAGCTAGGAACATAATGAGAATGGCTGTATTTTGATCAGATAAGAGATATAACTGGATGACAGAACATGCATGAGTTTACCATGTGATTACAGAGGCACACTTCAGTTCATTCCATGTGACATGAAGGTGCTGTCAATCCCAAAACTTTGGAATTGAAAGGAAACAGCCATGAGGAAATGGGCCACCAGTACCATTTAACCTGCTGCAGCCCACTTTCAGTTTTAGTCCAAAGGATCCTTAGGAGAGTGCACATGTAGGAATTGGACATGCTGAATTACTCTGGTGAGCTGAATTTGGCCCACTGGCCAAAGTTTCTCACTACCTTTCTAAGGAAAATACAATGTGAGTAACAGAATAAAACTAACAGACTTCATACAAAAACCTCAGAGAACAGGCTGACATGACTCTAAGGCAAGTAATCCAAGAGATGAAAGAGAGCAGAGAGCTAGCAGTAACTGAAAGGTAACATTAAATGCACAATGGTAATTCAGAGGAAAGAGTGTGTAAGACTGTTTTAGCTAAAACAGGGGAGCCTTAATGATCTGAAAAATCACACAAGAAATAAATAAATAAAAAAAGGTTTGTGTGCATGTCTAAGGAACAGTAAAAAAGTTAAAAAGACAGTGCTATCGTGTAGGGATAAAATCAGAACAATGGCACAGAAGTGAGTTGTAACTAGTGAAGAACATAAATGGTAACAAGTAAAGGTTCCATAAATACAATAAAAAACAGAAGACAAAAATTTATAACTTCAGAGGAAAAAGAACAAACGATAAGTGATATAAAGTAGGACAAAGTGTTAAACATCGTCTTTATTTCAGCCCTCAGCAGAAAAGTTAACTGTGAATGGCAATGTAACGAAATTCTTTTTAGAGGGAGACAGAAGGTGAGGTTAAAGTCAAAAAAGGTAAATTAAGAGTAAAGGATAAAGTTAAAGATTTTAAAGTCAGCAGACACATATGAAACCAATTCTTGGTGCTTAAAATGCCAATTAAAATGACATCTTGAGAACTCAAGAAAGGACAAGACAGGCAGACTAGCACATTCCATTAAAAGAATGGAGGAGGAGGACTGAGGAAAGCAAACACTTGTTAGCCTAACTTCAGCCTTTGGACAGATTTTACATCAAGTTATTGAGCAATCCACTTGTAAATAGATGGGAAGCAGATGACAAGAAGTAGCTGAGGTGGGTTGTTCAGGAACAGACTACAACAAAAGACAACCTTCTTTTACAAAATATATGCCTTGAGAGTTCTAAAAAGTAAAAGAAATTACATAAATTTGACATTTGCTCTTAGATAAGCTAAGAGACCACCACAGCGCTGTGTAAGCCAGACGGTGACACTCATGAAAGATTACTCTTGGAAAAACAACTGCTGGAGGAAAAAACCGAACAAGCGCAAGCCGGGCGGGCACTGGGTGTGTGACCCCCGCCCGGGCGGGCACTTACGGGGCGCGGGGATGGCGGGAGGCCAGGGGCGGGCCGGCGCCCCCTCGGCGGGCTGGCGGGCGGCAGCGCGGAGCGGGGATCCAGCGCAGGGCAGCTCGGCGGGGCCCTGCTCCGGGCCGGCATCTCCAGCTGCAACGACAACGCGCCGTGACATCGCCCGCCCGGCCCTCCGCCCCACGGGCACAGCGGGGCAGCGCTGCCAGGCCCGCCCGCCGCGGGGCGGGGCTGCCCGGCACCCTCGCGGCTGTGGGAGGCCGGGCCGCTCGCTCCGCTCCGCGGGCCCCGGCACCGCCAGAGCCCGCCCGGAGCCGGGGCAGCCGTGGCGCAGCCGCCGCCACCACGATGGGCAGCGGGGAAAGCCCCGCGCGGCTGGGCCGGGGAGCGCCCGGCGGGATGGGGCCCGTCCCGCCCCGGGCGCCTCTCACCTCCGCCCGCCCGCCAGGAGCTCCGCGCCGCCGCTCCTCCTCACTGTCCGGCCCCGCAGTGCCGGCGGGCGGGGAGGCGGTGCCTCTCCTGCCGCCGCGACCCCCCCCCTGCGGCCCTTCCGCCACGGCCGGGGGAGGCTGGGATGGATCCGGGGGTCTCAGTGGGGGTGGCGGGTTGACCATGAGTCGGCAGTGTGCCCTTGCTGCCAGGAGCGCCATCGGTATCCTGGGGTGCATCGGGAGGAGTGTGGCCAGCAGGTTGAGGAAGATGATCCTCCCCCTCTACCTGGCTTTCATAGGGCCACATCTGGAGTGCTCTGTCCAGTTCTGGGCGCCTCAAAACAAGAAAGACAAGGAGCTACTGGAGAGGATCCAGCGGCTAGGCACAAAGAAGATTAGGGGTCTGGAACGTCTCTCTTATGAGGAGAGACTGCAGGAGCTGGGCTTGTTTAGTCTGGAGAAGACTGAGAGGGGATCTCATTAATGCATGTAAATATCTCAAAGGTGGGTGCTAGAGGATGGTGTCAGACTCTTTTCGGTGGTGCCTAGTGATAGGATAAGGAGCAACGCTCATAAATTAAAACACATGAAGTTTCACCTTAACACAAAGAAGTGACAGAGCACTGTCACTGCCAGACTGCCCAGGGAGGTCATGGAGTCTCCCTCTCTGGAGACACTCAAAACCCACTTGGATGTGTTCCTGTGTCACCTGCTCTAGGTCACTCTGCCTTAGCAGAGGGGTTGGACTAGGTGGTCACCAGAGGTCCCTTGCAACCCTAACAATTCTGTGTTTCTGTGATTCTGTGACAGTACCAGGGGTCAGCAACACGTGGGGAGAGGGGTGTGGGCGGCCCCACAGTGCCCTCAGCCCCAGCCATCATCACTGCTCCAGCCCCAACCCCTCTGGCCTGCGCAACACCCCCAGCACAGGCAGAGCCAGACCTGGGTCCTGCTGACACAGCGTGGGTACCTGGCCGGTCCCCAGGCAAGCTCACGGCCCTGAGGGCAAAACGCACCTCCCAGACCCTGCCCTGCCTCCCCTGCCCTGGCCCAGGTGGTTCTTCAGCAGGAACCCGCCACCAGCCTCCTTTCCTTATCCTCTCCTGGCAGAAGGGTGCTGCTGCAAGTGGTGCCAGCTGCAGGGCTGCAGGTGAGGGATCAAACCATCCTATGTCACAGAATGGCTGGGTTGGAAGGAACCCAATGAGCATGAACTGGTTGTTCAGATCTCCTTCCAACCTGGCTGAATGTTTCCAACGATGGGGTATCCACCACCTTTCTGGGCAGTCTCTTCCTGCTTTTCACCACCCTTGTAATTTCTGAGGGGGTGTTGGGTGGTGCTCTGTGGCCCAGAGCACCTTCCTGGGTGTGGGGAGTGAGGATGTCGCTCCCCACGTTTCACTGTGTGACCACTGTACTCTGTGCAGGTGGGAGTCGTGCTCTAATTTCAGTGTTACACAAAATGAGAAACACAGGATTCAGCCACATAAAAGCAAAGCTAGCCCCAAGATCTGAATTCTATGTTTGACAAGGAAATTTCCAGTTGAAGACAAATAGAGCTTTTTCCTGAAAAAGCTTCTGATTTTAACATTTTCTCATTTACCAAATAAATTCTATCTTTCATTAAGAAATGCTGTATATGTGACAATGCATAGTCCTCAACCCTTTGTATTTATTTCATTTAAAACTGACCAACCCACGTGAAGATGTATGTCTTTCATGTTGCAGCAAAAAAACTGACACATGCACAGATGATTGAAAAGAAGCCATATGATCACACTGAAACCCTGAACATAACTGTTTTCATCCCTCGTGTGTGCATGCTGACTTGTTTCTACAGTGCATTAATTGAGGACTTCAGCTGAATGAACCATATAATCGATTCAAACATTTGTTTCAATATATAGTCATGACAACCATGCTGTAGAATTTGAAAAGAGGGCTGAGACACTTTCCTGTTGTAGTTCAGAAGCCGTTCTTCCCCCTTCCCAATTATTAAATAAGTAATTTTCTTGACATTGAAAACATATATTTTAAATTATTTTTTAATTTGTTAAACAGGAGCACAGAAATTCTATTGCCTAATTTTCCAAACTGCATTTTCAGCTCCAAGACACTGAGGACTGAGTCAGTATTCCACAGAAGTAAACAAAAAGGTGACTACTCAGAAAGGAATTGGCCTTTTCCACGATGAGAACCAGCATGTCAGCTCTTCAGTTTCTTGCTCTAATATTCTCCTTTTCTTTGCTATTGATTCAGAGGTCATCATCCTAGGCTTGTTTTTCGGTAGCCAGTACAGCTACAATAGTATAAGCTCAAAAATTTTAGTCCAACCAACAAATGTATCAAAGGAAAAAAGCAGAATGTTCGTTCCTGCATTATTTGTGGGTGAAACACTACCTTATGTGACTCTTGTTACCAGAAAGTTATTTACATTAAAATGGACATATTTAGTCATGAGACTAACTCATGCACCTCAAAATGACAATGGATCATACACAATCAGAGTAGTCACAATCTTATAATTCTTAATTTATTTGAATTAAAGCCTTAATAAGAAACCTGTAAATCTGAATGTTTGTCATTGTTTTCCTGCAGGATTTGTTTACATTATTACTGCAGCATAAAGTCTTGAACAGAAGACTCAGACCTTTAGGAGATGGTACATTAGATCTGTGTTCATTTTTTAACAACAAGGGGGCTTTTTTCTTACGCAGGTAGTATATGGTTAACGATCCTTGATTTGTTACCTGTTTCTTGTAAAGCTGTTTGGCCTGTGAGCACTCAAAAGCCGCGTTTTCTTGGGAAAGAGCCACAGGTTCTGCCTTCCAGCCTGCACTATGTAGCGTGTGCCAGTTCTGACTCTGGCCCTTTATTCCTAACCCAGTTGGGTTCCTACGGGTGTCATTCAGTGTTATTTGTCATGTACATTGTTCATTTCTTCTTCAGTTGTTTCTCCTTTCCTGTGTGCAAACCTACCTGGCTTTAGCCTTTGGCACAGCAGTAAATGAGGGAACTTTTGACTCATGGTCATTTATTTATCAGCCTGTTGAACAGACACCACTAACTTGGTTTCTAGTACATTCAAAAATTAAAATCAAGGCAGTTTGATGGACTTAACTTGTTCCTGTGCTTTCCTAGCACCTTTTTGAGGTTTTGCAGTTTGAAAATTCTTGTTTGGAATTGGAACTAAAACAACTACAGCCTTCCTTCCATTGCCGTGTAACTGATCTATTCAAGCAGGAAAAGCATAGATGGCCCTGTTTTGCACAGAGATTAGCTTGAGAGCAATGGGTATATAAATACCTTTTATATACTTAAACTCTCAGCAAAATTGGACCATGTCTCTTTAGTGAGAGGATGAAATTGGATAGTTACAGGTCTCTCAAATTATGTACAAAGATCTGTGGTCAGCATACTTCTCAGATACCCTGTTAAATGGGTATCTTAAACCACCTGTAAGGAAAGGGGATTACTTTCTCTTAGCAGGTGTTTTTCTTTTTTTATCAAAGTCCAGGGTAGCAGTATTATTTCTTTCTTTACAGGATGGAACATAACAAAGGCCTTTCCAACTGGCAAATGGAACAGATATTCTGGTTCTTCCTCTTGGCAATGGGAAAGCAAAGCCCTGGGGATTTCCCCATGGCAAGAGAGTGAAAACAAACACAAAAAAATTTTACTTCCTACCAGGGCAACAAACCCAAATACAATAGTTTTTGGCATACTACCCTCAACAAAGCTAATTTCGTAACTTAGCAGAAAAATACAGTGTTTCCCAGCCAGGAACATTCAGACCATCTAATTTTTTCTTATGGCAGCCTACAATTAATCTAAAAATAAAACTTATACCTCTTATTCATTTTTTATAAGGACAAAATGGATCTGCAGAGATCTGATGTAATTGTTTACTTGAAAAAATTTTTTTTTGGTTAAATAAAGATATTATTAAAAAACCGCCACCACCCTAACTATTAATTAAACAAAGAACAAAAATAAATGGTGAATACCTCAACTAAAATCTCTTCTTTCGGTCTTTGGATTTCATCAATTTGTGATGTCCTCTTTTCACTAGCTCTCTGGGTTTCACAACCTTTTCAGACCCTGTAGGGTCTAAATCTCAGTAGCCAAAAGCAAGGAAAGAAGCACAAACTGAAGGAGATAAAAGAAAACACTTAGATATTCTTTTGAGAAGGAGAGGGGAGGAGAAGAGTGAAGAGAAGTGAAAAAAATGTAACAAAGAAAAAGGAAAGGAAAAAGAACAGAGAAAAAAAGAAAGACAGAATGAAGAAAAGGGAAGAAAAGCCCTTATAATGCACATTTAATAAGCTGTAGTTGAGAAATACTGGCAAGTCATGGGAAACAACACAAAGTATCTCCTTCTTCACAAGAGAGATTACAAATTAAGGGCAAGTAGAGAATTGCTCCAAGCTCTGTTCTCCACTTCCTTGCCCCCCTGAAAAAAAAAAAAATCCAGTAGAAAAACAGTGAGGATTGTTTCTGATTTTATGATTTATCAGATAAATTTTATTCACCAGAAAAAAGCTGAAGGAAGGAAACCTTTCCTAGCTTTCTCTGACTATGGTTTTCCATAACTATTGTTGATGCTCAGTTGAGGGCTTCCAGGA